TGAAAAGGGTTTGTGTGTCTGGCATTCTCCTACCTTCATATTCGCCAGCAAACACATAGCTGTCCACCTGCAGGATGGGCTTCTCGGTGTCAATTCCCTACAACAGATCAAAGGGCATAAAATGTGACCTTTAGAAAATGCCCTTGGAGCAGGGAGGTGGTGGGGCATGCCTTTAATCCCAGCATCTGGAAAGCAAGGAGGCAGGCCATCTGTGAGTTTGATGCCAAGTTAGTCTACATAGAAGACAGGCTAGCCCAGGCTACATATGAGACTCTCTGCTCAAAAATCAAAGCAAACAACAAACCCTTAAGGGCCATCAAGATCACTCAGCAGATAGGGATGCTTGCTATCAAACCGGGTGGCCTGAGTTCAATCCCCAGAAGCTACATGGTGGAAGCAGAAAACTGACTCCTACAGGTTGTCCTCTTACCTCAATGGAACGCCATGATATGCACACAGCCACACACAAAAATAAGTAAAATAAATGTAATTTTTAAAAAAGAGAAAGGAGGGGCTGGAGAGATGGCTCAGAGGTTAAGAGCACTGACTGCTCTTCCAGAGGTCCTGAGTTCAATTCCCAGCAACCACATGGTGGCTCACAACCATCTGTAATGAGATCTGGCGCACTCTTCTGGCGTGCAGACATACATGGAGGCAGGATGTTGTATTAATAAATAAATAAATCTTATTAAAAAAAAAGAGAAAGGAAAGGAGGGAAGGACGGAGGGAGGGAGGGAAGGAGGGAGAAGAGCAATGTCCAGTATGGTGGCCATAGCTGTAATCCCAGCACTCAAGAGGTAGAGGTAGGAGAATCATGAGTTCAGGAACAGCCTTAGCTAGGAATTGAGTTCAAGGCTATCCTGGGGAAAAGGAAGGCAGAGGGGAGAAGGATGAATGGGATCAAGTATATTATGTGCATGTATAAGATTATCAGAGTGAAACCCATTGTGTACACAATTATTCTACTCTTTCTTTTGTTTTTTGTCACATCTGGTTTTCCTCCCCCCTCTTTTTTTTTTTTTTTGGTTTATTTTTACTGTGTATATGTGTGTGCCTGTATGAGTTTATGTGTACCATATGTGTAAATACCTATAGAGGTCCAGGCTGTTGGAGGCTCTGGAACTGAAGTTACAGGTGGTTGTGAGAAACTTGATGTAGTGCTGGGAACTGAACCTGGGACTTCTGGAAGAGTAAGCACTCTTTAAAGATGACCTCTCTCCCCAGCCCCAGGAGAAGATTTATTTAAAAGTCTCGTGGACAAATGCCAAATGACTGAGCCCCAGACACTCTAACAGCCTGGTAAAAGGCCAATCATGTCCCTTCCATTGGGTACCATGAATCTATCTCATCAATGCTGTCTCCTCTCCTCAACCTAAATGTTCTTCCTTCAGTTAAAGCTTCTGCCTGAAAGTCTGTGCTTCTCACCTCAGATGTCTTTGTTCCCATGGGGATGGAGGCTCCTCCTGGCCTTACCAATTTCTTAGTAGGTAACTTCCCCTCTCCTCCAGTTTAGCTTTTTCTGAGGATTTCTGGTAAATTCTTTCACCCCATTCCCTTCCCATCTCACTTTCCAAAACAACATACATTCCCAATATGCCCTAATAATTCTATAGGTGGCACCACACACTGTCCTAACTCCATTTTGTCCATCTCTGGTTCTACCCTGGCCTCTTTAACTTTTCTCTGATGTCATTTACTTTCTTCTGCAATTACCTGGGATTGATCAATAAACAGTTTTATGACAAGGGACCTGAACTAACCCCAAACAACATAAACCTTGAATGACCACTGACCAAATGAGGGAAGTTACCCATGACAGAATGTAAAGGTAGACCCAAGAGCAGGAACAGTAATCGCACGGCAACCATATTGCCCCCCCCCCTCCCTTTCAGGTGACAATGATGACAACTTCTCTAGAACCCTTTCCAGAAAAACAAAGTAATGATCAACTGGACCACAGGCCTGGCCAAGGTCACCTGTTCTACTATGGAACTTCAAAGTTCTTGTCCTTCCAACCTGACCACAATGGTTAAATCTCCCTTCACTGCCCTTATCCACTACTCGTCTCTGTTTGGTTTTGGTTTTACAAGGTTATTTTTGGGGGGGGGGGGTTGGTATCTGAGACAGGGTTTCTGTGTTTCTCTGGCTGTCCTGGAACTTACTATGTAGACCAGGCTGTCCTCAAACTCATAGAGATCGTTGTATGGGTGAGATTAAGAGTATGTACCATCATTCCTGGATGGGGTTTTTGTTGTTGTTGTTGTATTTGTTTTGAGACAGGTTCTCTCTATATAGGCCTGTCTGTTCTAGAACTTGCTATGTAGACCACATAACTCATCTCTTACTGGCATGTTGGGGTGGGTGGCAGAAAGTAGCTGGTTGGAAATTTTGGAGACAGGAATCTTGCCAAAAAACTCTGATAACAATAATTCCATCTTTAATTTGTGTCTTCTTTTTATTATTGTTTGGTTGCTTGACTGAATTTTTTTGTTTGTTTGTTTGCTTGTTTGTTTTGTTTTGTTGGTTTTTTCTCTGTGTAGCCCCCACTCTCCTGGAACCCACTCTGTAGAACAGGCTTAATCCTCGACGGGATTAAAGGCGTGAGTTACCACTACTCAGCTTCTTTATGTTTTTTAAAGACAGGGATTCCTGCAGCTCAAACTGGCCTGGAATTTTCTTTGTCATTAAGGATGACATTGAACTTCTGATCTGCCTGCCTTAGGCTCTCCAGTGCTAGCAATATGGGGTGTACCCGGACAGTCTGCTCTGACAATGTTCCTTGTAGTCTGATGGGGGAGACATGAGTGAGCAATTAAGACACTCCAAGACACTGCCTGCAGTGATGGGCAGACCCTTGAGTGAGGCATGAGATGTGGGTGCCGGGCACACTTAGACCAGAGTCTGGGTCCAGACTAGTACTCTTGACTGTGGGACCACTGGAGGACGGAGAGACTATGCCCACTAGAAAAGACAGGCTCCGCTTAGGGATAGCACTTAGCACTTGATGAGGCTTCTGTCCTAAAACTCCCCAAAAGTTCCATACAAAATGTCATCTTTTGTTTTTTTTTTTTTTTTTTTTTTTTGGTTTTTCGAGATAGGGTTTCTCTGTATTGTTTTAGAGGCTGTCCTGGAACTAGCTCTTGTAGACCAGGCTGACCTCGAACTCACAGAGATCCGCCTACCTCTGCCTCCCGAGTGCTGGGATTAAAGGCAAGCGCAGCCAACACCTGGCTATTTTTTGCTCTTTACTTTGCTCGGGCAAGGAAGCAGGCATTTTCTCTACTCCCATAGAATCACCCATTACCCTGTTCTTCTGGAATGATCCTTGAGCTTTGTAAGGTGGAATGAGCATGTCTTTGTGGACAAATGTATCACCTTTATTTGTGTTTTAACTTTAAGAAAAACTCCAGGTAATGGTGGCACTCACATTTAATCCCAGCACTCAGGAGGCAGAGGTAAGCAGATTTCTTAGTTCCAAGGTCAGCCTGGTCTATAGAGAGAGTTCCAGGAGAGCCTGGGCCTCACAGAGAAACGGAAACGAAAAAAAAAAAGGAAAGAGAGAGCAAAGAAAATCTACAACATTCCCCAAATTCTAACACTCACCAAAATCTTGCATTTATTCTCACATTTGGAGAGAAAGTCTGAATCAATAATTCCTGACAATTCTACCAGAACAAACTGCTCCTGATGGAAGAAAGAAAAGTTAACATGGTACTCGGCCAGTGAGTAAGAGACAATACACAGAAATGCCCCAAATCCCGATTTAATGATGCCGCCTCTGCGAAAACTTGATCTAGTTTCTGGTGGAAGCAGACGACCCTCAGAACCCCCCAGACCATATCTACTCTTTCTAGAATGGGTAGACGAGAACTGGGGTTCGACCTCCCCCACTTCTCGTGCCCCAGCGTCGGAAAGCGAGCGCGCTGTCTCCGGGCCTCCCTCCCGCCGTCTGCATCCGGACTCCCTTCCCCACCCGGGGCTGGCACAGCCATGACCGCCGATGCTGCAGGCCTTCGACCCACGCTTACAGCCTCCTCTATCTCTTCTTCCTCGTCCTCCTCCTCGTTCTCCCAACTGGGATCCATTGCAGACGCCATTGCCCGCACACTCGGAGAAGCCATCACCGGCCACGCCCACCCTCGGGCGCCATCTTGAATACGGGCAGCGGCGTCCAACATCCGGCTTTTGCGGTTCACGACGCACAGACGCCTCGCCAGAAAGCAAGATGGCGGCGGCGCCAGACTTCCGCCGGAGAACCACGTGAAGATTCTGCCCACCTTTCGAGTTTGGGGAATTTAGATATATTCCCCTTTAGAGAAAGTGGCTGCCCTGAACTCAGCTAAGTAGCTGAAGATGCACGCAACCATCTGCCTCCACCTCCCAACTGACTGAAATTCTCAATTCTAGAAACAAAACCTCATATACATTGCATGCCGCACTTAAGACTACAGAATCAATTCGAGCTCTCTGGAATGGTTTGCCTATACCGACCACTCTTAGCAGGGGTGTGTGGGGGTGTTAAAACAGGATTATTAATGCAAATTCAAGGCCGGCTACACAGTATCAGATGTATGCGTGATGAATCCAACACTGATGGCACCGCATGTGCCACTGGAGAGACTGGGGTGGATTTCGGACAGCAAAGGTTATCAAGCAACACCAGTTTCAAAGAACAAAATACAATCTGAGAAGCCACACACATCCTTTATCTTTAAACTGGACCGGAAGTGGTTTTGTTAGGGCTTCTGAAGACACTAGCGTCTGATTGGCTGTTATCCGTAATATGTTAATTAACTTAAATATGAATTACTTTACAATTCATAATGTTTAGGATTTTTTTCAAAGTAACACACAAACACATCTTTGTAAATGCATGCATGTGTTGTTTCTTACTAGGGAATGTTACCGGCGTTGGGAGGGCGAATGTATTGATGTAATGTCACCATTAGTAAAAAATGAGCTCGGGAATGTGACTTGTCAGCGGTTGGCGATGCAGAGTTAAGACTATACTTTCAGGGATCATTTCTATAGTTCGTTACTAGAGAAGTTTCTCTGACTGTGTAGAGCACCCGAAACCACGAGGAGGAGACGGAGCTTTCTCCCCTGAGCGTGAAGCCGGCTCTTAGTGTTGCTTCTGCAACCGCTATTTGCCATTGATGATCGTTCTTCTCTCCCTCGGGAGAGTGAGAGGGGGAGAAAGCAGTCTGAGTGGTTTCCTTTTTATTGGTGGTTCAATATCAGTAAAACCTTTTTGTTTTTCCTTACTTGGTGTTTTTGAATACTGCTGGGTCATGTGGCCTATCGATAAAGTGTTTCTCTGTGCCTTTTGTATATATTAAACTGGTGCTATTTTTGTTTTTCTCTGGCTTTTGAGACTGTCCGGCAGCTCACTCTGTAGGCCAAGCTGTTCTCGAACCCACAGAGATCCGCGTGCCATTGCCTCCTGATAGGAGTATTTTTAGATATGCTACTGGGCGACATGTTAGACTTGCCACGCGGGGGCGACGAGTGACCTACCGGTCTGCTCCATATTGCTCTTAAGCCTATATGAAAGTTATATTCCATAGCGTTAGGGTTGAAGTCTTCTTCCAGAAAACAACGTTTTTCACTTATGTAAGAGTTTTACATTCAGCCTGGCGTTGGTGGCGCACGCCTTTAATCCCAGCACTTGGGAGGCAGAGGCAGGCGGATCTCTGTGAGTTCGAGGCCAGCCTGCTCTACAAGAGCTAGTTCCAGGACAGCCTCCAAAGCCACAGAGAAACCCTGTCTCGAAAAACCAAAAAAGAAAAAAAAAAGAGTTTTGCATTCAGGGACAGAACGTTTTTGTTTTAAACGTGTACCTTACTTGGATGAGAAAACGCGAGTGTGTAAGGCTGGGAATGTAGCTCAGTGGTAGAGTATTCGCCTGGTTCAGGGGCAGGGCGGGGCGACTACTAAGTAAGTACTGGATAACTAAAACATCTTCAATTTTCAGCTGCATCACAGTAAACTGGAAGGCTTCTCCAGATAATAAATGCGCTTTTCTACCAGTTCCCAAGTATTGATGCCCTGGTCTAAGGAACCGAGCTGAAACTACTCTACTAGGTCATCTACTAGAGCCATTTGCTCACAGCCATGCACAACAAAATACTGAGATCATGCTAAGCATTCCAGCTTTCTAAAAAGTAGTCATAGTTGGTGGCACACGCCTTTAATCCCAGCACTCAAGAGGCAGAGACAGGCAGGTCTCTGTGAGTCTGAGGCCCAGCCTGATCTACAAGAAGGAGTTCCAGAACAGTCAGGGCTACACCGAGAAACCCTGTTTCAAGGGGTGCAGAGGGAGTGGGGGTGGGTTATCCTCGGCTACATAGAATGTGCTACACGAGACGCTCCCTTAAAATAAAAATGTTCCCTGCTATGTGAAGACAAGAACCTCAGGCTGCTTCCAGGGGCTGGAAAAGTAGTTCTTTTGGTAGAGTTCTTTGGCATGCACAAAGCCCTGAGTTTGATTTTCAGCGTCTCAGAAACTGGCCGATGTGGCACGTGCCTATAATCTAGCACTCAGGAAAGGTGGAGGCCCACTGTGCCCTATGAGAAAGAAGAGAGAAAACACCTGTGGGTTCCAAAGATTTTAATGATCTCCACATAATCGGGTCACTCGCTGATCAATAATGGTCACAGAACAAGGACTCGGGGGCCTTGTTTCTCCTGGCAGCCCCAAGCAGGGGCAGAAGCAGCGTTTACAAGCACAAAAATAATAGATATTTGTTGCCAGTTACAGTTTTCATCAATCAGGAATCAAAAGTCAGGGACTTTCCTTGTGTATTCCATCATTGTCAATAGACATAGAATGTAAGCCTTCAGTCCAACCAATCGGATCCATTTGTTCTTTCTGCTGTTAGGAACAACCATATTTCTAGAGAACTAAAGATGCATAATGACTACTTCTGTGGTTTAAGGAGGAGGTTAGTCAGCTATTGGAAAGTTCTCAGCTTCCCTGAGATTTGGAAACCTGAGCTTATTTCACTCTACAGGTAAAATGGAGTCTGGAGTCAAAATGGCCGTACTTAGGCCAACGTGATTTTGCCTGCTCCCTTCGTAGGAAATTCATGCACATGTATTCTACGTCACTGCCTAGGGATGGTACTGCCCAAGGATAGACCTTCCCACATCAATCAAATAACCAAGACAATCTTCCATGAACATGTCCACTGGACAACCAATCTCCACAATCCCTTTATCTATGTGATTCTATATTATATTAAGCTGACAATTGAAACTGACTGTTCCATTGGAACCTCCAGCTCACCCCTGCATGATCCGGGAAGCCCCATTCCTGTCTCTCTCTCTCTCTCTGAATCCTGCCCACTCAGTCTCCGAACAAAGGCAAGGCGCCAAAAAGCCTAGTTCCTAATTCTTGGCAGTACTGCGGCTTCCTCCCCTGAAGTTGCCACCCAAGTCTTTGTCTAAAGAGACTTTTGACCATACTTGGGCACAAACCCAGCTTGTGGCTAAAACATCATCACCCCATGTCTACAATCTATAAAAGTCTCCCTGCTCTTATTTGAGGGTGTGGCTTCTCCAGCCTACATTCTCTGGGACTGGACAACCTGCCCGGGAGTTGCTTTGTTCAAATGAACCTGTTGTTTCACTTTTTCAATCTGGCTTGGTCTGGCTTGCTGCTTTGGTGGAGAAATCTATGTGGGAGGGGGCAAAAGACTTATTACTAACCACCACAGAGCTATATTCCATAAGTGCATTCTCCTGCACCCCTTTTAAACTTGTCTCCTTTGTTAGAGGCACTTCTGTGAAAAAGTTTGAGAAATACTGCAATATTGCTTAAAAATATATGGTGCAGGGGACTGGAGAAATGGCTCAGCAGTTGAGACCTCTGGCTGCTTTTCCAGAGGACCTGGGTTCAATTCCCAGCACCCACATGGCGGCTCACAACTGTCTGTAACTCCGTTTCCAGGGAATCTGATACTTTCACACCAAAGCACATAAAATAAACTTAAGTAATTAAAAAATAAATGGCGGGGTGTTGTTGGTACATGCCTTTAATCCCAGCACTAGGGAGGCAGAGGCAGCCGGATCTCCTTGAGTTCAAGGCCAGCGAGTTCCAGGACAGCCTCCAAAACAATACAGAGAAACCCTGTCTCAAAACGCCAATAATTAAGTAAGTAAATAAATAAATAAATAAAGCAGGCTTTGTAATTGGGCCTGGTAGTGAAGGGCTCAGTACTCAGAATATGGGGCAGGAGAATCCAAAGTTCAAGGTCTGTCTGGGCACCTCAAGGTCAGCCAGGTGACTTAGTTAGACCCTGTCTCAAATGTACAATGAGATGCAGCTCAGAGGAGGAAATAGCCTAGCATGTGTGGAGACCTGGTTCAATCATCAGAAAAACAAACTAAATAAATTACAGGTATATAAATGTTTTATTTCATTTATTACCAGTGTGTATGTGCACATGTGTTAGGTACACACCTGAAACAATCCAAATGTGGGTGTCAGAAGATAACCTTGTGGAGCAGTTTCTCTCCTACATTTACATGGATTCCAGGAATAGACCTCAGGTCATCAATTATTCACAGTATTTCCTTTCTGAGTAGAGGTCATGACCCCTTTGGGGGTGATTATCAGGTATCCTGTATATTAGATATTTATATTATAATTCATAACAGTAGAAAAATTGCAGTTATTATGTAGCAACAAAATAATTTTACGGTTGGGGGTCACCACAACTGTATTAAATGGTCACAGCACACCTTTAATCCCCGCACTGGGGAGGCACAGGCAAATGGATTTCTTGAGTTTGAGGCCAACCTGGTCTACAGAACTAATTCCAGGACAACCAGGGCTACCCAGAGAAACCCTGTCTTGAAAAAACAATGATAAAACTGGGCAGTGGTGGTGCTTCCAGCCCTCAGGAAGCAGAGGCATGCTCCAGGCCAGCCTGGTCTACAGAGCTAGTTCCAGAACAGCCAGAGATGTTACACAGAGAAACCCTGTCTCAACAAAACCAAAATAATAATAATAATGATAAACCTTTATTTTATTATTTATTTATTTATTTTGCTTTTTTTGAGACAGGGTTTCTCTGTGGCTTTGGAGGCTGTCCTGGAACTAACTCTTGTAGAGATCGGCCTGCCTCTGCCTCCTGAGTACTGGGTACTGGTATTAAAGGCATGCACCACCACCGCCCCACTAAACCTTTGTTTTAAAAAGTAAACTAAGGGACCGGTAACGTGGCCTGTAGCAGGCTTTCTTGTTCCACCAGCCCCCAGATCATGACACAGAGACTTAATAACTATGAATGCTCAGTATTAGACCTGTTTCTAGCTAGCTTTTTAAATTTTAATTAACCTATTTCTATTCACCTATGTGTTGCCCTGAGGCTTGTTTACTTCCTCTACATACCGTCCATCCTGCTTCCCTGCTTCCTCTGTGTCTGGATAACTGGCCCCCAGCTGGCTGGCCTCCCCTTCCCTCTATGCCCACTAGTCCTGCCTAACCCTCCTCTGCCTAAGCTATTGGTTGATCTATTACACCGGTCAGGTGCCTTAGTCAGGCAAGGTGAAACAGCAACACAGAGTTAAACAAGTGCAGCATGAACAAAAGCAACACACCTTTACATAGTTAAACAATCGTTCTGCACTGTAAGTAACGGTTGGTTTACATAGTTAATATCCACAGCAGGGGCTCAACAGGTAGAGACACTTACCATTGCAAACCTAGCTAACAGAGTTCAATCCTGGAATGAAGTGGAAGGAAAGGACTGACCCACAGGATTGCCCCCTGGCTTCTAGACATGTCAGCTTTTAAAGACTAAGAGCTCAGTGGGTAAGAGCACCAAGTTAGGACCCCACCAGTCATACATATCAGGTGGCTCACGGCCACCTGCAGCTCCAGCTCAGTGGCTATGATACCATCTGGGCTCCGAGGACATTTGAATGCACAAGATACACATAAACTCACTCAGGCACAAGGACATTTGCATGCAGAAGGTACGCATAAACAGCTATAAATCAAAAATGAATATTTTATAAGTCAAATAAAATAACAAAAGCAAAATGTGTTGCTTATTTGTATTCTGTAAGTCATAAAGCATGAGGGCTGCCAGTGGAGGAGACACCACTGGCAGTGGTGTGTGGGGTGACTCAGCACAGGAAGCCTCCCCGAGTATAGTCAGGTATGGGGAGGTCCAGAGGACCCTGGGTGACGAGGCAACGACCA